AGAACCAGCAGAGACACCAGCGGCAGGGTCCTCAGCACCAGCAGCAGCTCCAACGTCCGGGTCCTCAGCACCAGCAGCAGCTCCACCGCTCGGGTCCGCAGCACCAGCAGCAGCTCCAACGCCCGGGTCCTCAGCACCAGCAGCAGCGCCACCGCTCGGGTCCGCAGCACCAGCAGCAGCTCCAACGCCCAGGTCCTCAGCACCAGCAGCAGCGCCACCGCTCGGGTCCTCAGCACCAGCAGCAGCTCCAACGCCCGGGTCCTCAGCACCAGCAGCAGCCCCAACGCCCGGGTCCTCAGCACCAGTAGCAGCGCCACCCCCAGGGTCCGCAGCACCAGGAGCACCACTCCGAAGACTGCAGCGCCGCGTGTACCACTCTCGGATCTGCTGAATGGGGGGGAGCTCCTGGGCAGGAGGGGAAGCACTGGTACGAGCTCCAGTAGCACCTCTCCGGAGGCGGCAGTACTGTAGGTACCGCTCCTGCAGCTGCCGGGAGGAGAGGGCTCCTCCAGGTGTAGCACGCTCAGGCTCAGCACCCCCAGACTCAGCACCCCCAGACTCAGCACCCCCAGGCTCAGCACCTCCAGGCTCAGCACCCCCAGGCTCAGCACCTCCAGACTCAGCACTCCCAGGCTCAGCACCCCCAGGCGCAGCACCCCCAGGCTCAGCACCCCCAGCAGGACGAGAGTCGACAGCCACCTTGACAGGCTCACCCGGGTCTACCTGGGACACACCTGAGGGAGCGGCACCCTGAGGGGGGAGGGGGTCTGGTACCTCAGCACCTGGAGCGAGGAAGAGAGGCGGGGGGGGGAGCGGAGCAGTGCGGTAGGGGAAGAGGCGGTAGTAGGGGACGGACTCGTCAAAAGTGACGTCCTGAGAGGCCAGGACACGACGCGAGGTGGCGTGGTAGAACTGCCAACCAGGCGCGTCCGGGACAAAGCCAAGGAAGACACAGGGGACAGCGCGACGGGAGAGCTTGTCCGCGGACGTGTCGCGAACAAAAGCTCGGGATCCCCAGACCCGAAAACGCGACGCATCGCCAGCCTCTCCCGTCCAACGCAGTGTCGGAGAAGTCTCCGGTAGGGAGACACGGGGCCAGAGGTTGAGCTGATGCGCAGCGTATCGGACCGCAAACGGCCACAGAAAGTGGGGGGCAGCCGCATGAACCAAGGAGGTACGAGCTACCTCCATGACCAAGCCAATGCGGCGCTCAGCAACCCCATTCTGCTGTGGAGAGGCCGGAAGCGTGAACGACTGCTCAATGCCCTCCTGCTGACAGAAGGTCTCCAAGAGGCCAGAGGAAAACTCCCCACCTCTGTCAGAGTGCAGATGCAGGACAGGGAAGTCGGAGCGGAAACGCTCACTGAGCTGGAGACGAGATCTGCGGATCCAGGGGATCAAGACATCAGGGACCTCACCCTTGGTGCGCAAGGGGAAGACCGTGGTGTAGCGCGAAAAGTCGTCAACAACAATCAGGAAGTACCTCTCCTGACCCTGACCACGGACGCGGGCTGGGCCCCACACGTCCATGTGGAGTGTCTGCAAAGGAGCAGTCGTCGGGGGGAAGGAGGAGGAGTGAGGAGTGGCGCGCTGCCGCCCCTCGACACAGGGAAGACAGGGAGGAGCAGGCGAGGGTGGGAGGGGAGGGAGAACCCTGGGAAGACCAGCAACAAGGTCCCGTTTGTGCATGGCCCGAAGGCGCTGCACAGACGGGTGACCAAGACGGTGGTGCCAGAGGACAGTCTCATGCGCCAGAGAGCGACACGAGCAGGGGGCGGACAGCTGACCTGACGCAGACGCAGACGCGGACGCAGCTACCTGAGGGGACGTAGTGGTCAGTGTGTACAGGTCCGACCCCGGCTGCCGAGTGAAGGTAGCCAGGTGACGGCCCGTCCGAGCACACGTGCAGTGCGTCACGCGCTCGTATGCAGGGGTGAACTGGTGAACACCCCCGTCCTGGAGCGCACTACCTGCCACCAAGTTCGTAGAGAACGAGGGGAGGTAGAGACCTGACAGTGTGCCTGACGGGACCGCAGGACAAGGAAGGACAGTGGAGGAGGTCGCAATGACCGGACCCCCAGAGGGGTCAGCGAGGGAGACAGCAACTGGCCGAGCGAGTGGCTCAAGGACAGTGCGGTCACGAAAGAAACAGCGAGAAGCACCAGAGTCCAGTGTGAAGGTGTGAAGTGCGGCAGTCGACTCAGTACCAGGGGGGACGGACGCACGAGCACCTAGAGCAGCAGCCTCACCAGGACCTGGGGCAGCAGACTCACTAGCACCTAGAGCGGCAGCCGGACTGGTCAGAATGCCCGGGTCGGGCGGAACACGCAAGTACTGGGCACCCTCTCCACTAGTAAACATCGCATACATGGCAGTGAGAATAGCATCAAAGTCTAAAGCCCAGATATCAACTCCCTTCCTCTCCAGATCACCCCAGCGGGGAAGCTCAGTGCCGCCAGGGAACTGAGCGCGCCAAGCGTCGGTGAGGCGCGAGAAACAGCGGTGCGTGGGGTGCGGCCTCCCACACGTCTGGCCAGTGCGGTCTCCAGTGCGGATGACGTACGTGCAGGTAAAGCCACCCGCCCCCCCCCGCTGCGAGTACCACTCACGTGCCTCCTGGAGCGACGGGGCGTGCTGCTGGCTCTGGCCACCGCCAGCGCCTCCACGACCACCACCGCCGCCGTCACCGCCTCGGCCACCTCCACCCCTGCCGCCGCCACGACCACCTCCGCCTCCGCTGCCGCCGCCACCCCTGCCACTGCTCCCGCCGCTGCTGTCACCACCCCCACTGCCGCCACTAGCCTCTCCAGTCCCACCTCCACCCCCACCGCCACCACCCCCGCCTCCCCCGCCACCACCTCCACCCTTGCCCCCCTTGCTCCTGCGGCGCCCGCTCGGAGCAGACGCGGTCCCGACCTTCTCAGCACCAAGGAGGTCGACAGCAGCAGCAGAGGCAACAGAGGGGAGAAGGGGGGAAGGGGAACACCCCTCAAAGAATGGGGTGCGGGGGTCGCCACGAGAGGTGCCTACAGCGACGATGCTCGCCTCAGCTGCAAGCAGTTCCTTCTCGAGGAGGGCAATGGTGAGCTCAGTGGGGGAGCGAGCGAGGAAGTGGTCCCTGACTGCGCGCAGAGAGTCAGGGAGGCGGGTGACGATGTGGTAGAGAGTGATCCAGAGCGGGGGGGGATTGCTAGCAAGGAACTCGTCAGGCATAGCAGCGCGAAAGCGGGCCTCACTAGTCTTGAGGTGGGTGATGAGGTCAGCGACTGTGCTAAAGGAGGCCAGGTCGGGGAACAGGTAGGGGAGGGTGAGGCGGCCGAGTGTGGCAGAAGCAGGTGAGGAGTAACGAGCAACGACTGCAGTGTACAAGTCCTTAGCAGTCTTGTGCTGGCCAAAGTGCTCGCGCTCATCTAGCGGCAGGGAGTTGCGAATGGCAAAGCGAGCGTGGGCGTCACGAGTCTGCCACTGGGAGCGCTGAGTGCTGTCAGCAGTGGTAGGAGGGGCAGTAGCATGGCCTAGGGCGTGATCGTACAGTGAAACGTCCTCCTTGGCAGTGAGCTGGAGGAAGAGGTGCAGGTCATCTAGCCAGGTGTCGAACTTCACTGGGCGGCCCTCGGCATCGAAAGCGAGTACAGGAGGACTAGCCATAGTAGCGGCAGCAGTAGCAGTAATAGGAGCAGTGGTAGCAGTAATAGCAGGAGCAGCAACAACAGTAGCAGTAGCAGCAGTAACAGGAGTAGTAGCAGCAGTGGCAGCAGGCAGGGGCGGCGCGCAAGGCAGTAGTGAGCCGCTTGCAGGCTGCGGAGGTGCGGCACAAGCAGGTAGGGCGGCGCACGAGGCTGCTGGGGCGGCGCGCGGGCTGCGGATACCAGGCGCGGGCTGCGCGCGCGGTGCACGGGGCAGCAGCGAGCCGCGCGCAGGCTGCGCGGGCTCGGCGCGGGCTGCGCGGGCGGTGCGCGGGACGGCAGCGGGCGGCGTGCGGGCTGCGCTGGCTCAGCGCGGTGCGTAGGGCGGTGAGCGCGGGGCCGACGGGGCCGGTAGGGGCGATCGCGGGGCCGACGGGGTCGCTAAGGGGCGAGCGCGGGGCCGTAAGGGGCGAGCGCGGGGCCGACGGGGCAGTAAGGGGCGGCGCGGCGGGGCCGTAAGGGGCGAGCGCGGGGCCGTAACGAGGCCTTAAGGGGCGGCGCGGCGGGGCCGTAAGGGGCAAGCGCGGGGCCGACGGGGCCTTAAGGGGCGGCGCGCAAGTCGCTAAGGGGCGGGTCGCGGGTCGCGGGGCCTTAGGGGGCCGTTAAAAACAAACGAGGCGCCCTAGGTAGGTAGGTAGGTAGGTAGGTAGGTAGGTAGGTAGCGGTGGGCCCTAAAAAAACGGTCCTAGCGAAGGACCTGCTCTGAAACCATGTCGAAATGAACGGACAGGAATGATTGAACTAACAGTGAAATCAGTACAAGTACCTAACCCTAGAATTGTGTACCCCCTATAGGCTAACCCACTGTAGCCTAAACAACCACAACATATATATAATGTGTGACACACTACAGGCGCGCATACCGACCAAACTGACCAGCGCATTACTTATGTTTGTAGAGATGCTGTTAGTACCATATTCTTGTCAATCCACTAGATTAGGCCTTCTACTTCAACAACACTAGGTTATTTCCTTTCTGGTCCATATAATTTGGGAGATTTCAGAGTTCCAGTTCCGCCTTGTACCTACACACAAGCGTGCATACTGACCGAACCGACCGATGCAGTATTCTTTCTGTACAAAAACAATGAATATCTTATGTATTCCCACTTCCTTAAACTATACCATTCCCCACCCCCTACCATAATTTAACACGTTGTATCTATGTATTTTTGCAGATATAGACATTCTAGTCGTACATGGTACCTGAGCTTGACTGGGAAGATTTCTAAGCCAGCAAGGGCGTGGGAGGGTTGCGAGCATCATCGATCATCGGCGCTCGCGAATGAAGAGCGCACGCTGCACTTCCTGCACATGTGCGGATTTTACCGTGTTTTTAGGCTGGACGTGCTCGTTCCGAGCGATTTTCTTCCACCAGGTCGTCGTTGCACTTGTCTGGTCCTATTACTAAGCCAGCAAGGGCGTGGGAGGGTTGCGAGCATCGTCGGTCATCGGCGCTCGCGAATGAAGAGCGCCCGCTGCACTTCCTCCACATGTGCGGATCCTTCCGCGTTTTGGGGCTGGAAGCGCTCGTTCCGAGCGTTTTTCTTCTGCCGGGTCACGTGGCTGCGCTTGTCTGGGCCTATTGCCAAGCCAGTAAGGGCGTGGGAGGGTTGCGAGCATCATCGGTTATCGGCGCTCGCGAATGAAGAGCGTCCGCTGCACTTCCTGCAGATGAGTGGGTCCTTCCACGTTTCGGGGCTGGAAGCGCTCGTTCCGAGCGTTTTTCTTCCGCCGAGTCACGTGGCTGCGCTTGTCTGGGCCTATTACCAAGCCAGCAAGGGCGTGGGAGGGTTGCGAGCATCATCGGTCATCGGCGCTCGCGAATAAAGTGCGTCCGCTGCACTTCCTACACATGTGCGGATCCTTCCGCGTTTTGGGGGTGGAAGCGCTCGTTCCGAACGTTTTCTTCCACCGGGTCACGTGGCTGCGCTTGTTTGGGCTTATTACCAAGCGTTTTATTGCATATGCAGGTGTCTCATTCTCAAACACACCTATCAGAGCAATTTCAGCTTGGTTCATGCGCAAAGAAATGTTGAGCGTCTTCGATGACTGCTTTGGTTGCCGACAAATGCTAAGAAAGCGCATGAATCCCTGCATGCGTAGGAGAAGCATCGACCGACCTAAATGTTATTCATACTCGGGTGGCCCATGCTCAAACACACCTATTTAAGCAATTTCAACTTGGTTCTTGCGCAAATAAAAGTTCGGCGCCTGCAATGACGACTAGGTTTGCCGACAATTGCTAAGGAAGCGCATGGATCCCCACATGCGTAGGGAAAAACATCGAACGACCTGAATGTTACATTCGAGTGGCCCATGCTCAAATACATAATGAAGATCAATTTCAGCTTGGTTCGAGCGCAAAGAAAAGTTCGGCGCCTTCGATAACGACTATGTTTGCGACAATTGCCGACAATTACCATTTCGATTACCATTGACATTGCCATTACCATTACCATTACCATTACCATTACCATTACCATTACCATTACCACTACCATTACTATTACCATTACCATTACCATTACCATTACCATTATCATTACCATTACCATTACTACTACCATTACCATTACCATCATTATCGTTACCTTCATCAGTCCCATTACCACTACCACTACCATTACCACTACCATTACCATTACCACTACCACTACCACTACCACTACCACTACCACTACCATTACCATTACCATTATTAGTACCATTGCTAACCGCGCAGTTGAACCTGGCACGTAGTTGGACCAGGCGCGCAGGTTGACCAGGCGCGCGGTTGGACCATGCGCGCACTTGGACCAGGCGCGCAGTTGGACCAGGCGTAGATGCTAATAAAGTACAAATGAAGAAACCATAAGGCCTTGGGTTGGGAGTGTGCGCAGCGATCCATAGAAAAAGGAGTGGGTTCTCACTTCAAACATAGAATGGTATGCTCTCATTGAGAGTTGAACTCAAGACCTCCCGCTTACTAAACGGGTGCTCTAACCAACTGAGCTATGAGAGCTGCCCATCGGTTTCCACAAGCATTTCTCTTTTAAATAGTTTTGAGCTCACACGTTTCGTACTGGGAGGCTCTCACGAGCACATATGGTAAAACGCTATCCTTACCTCTAATTTTTGCTGCATGCCATGCCCGTCTGAATCTGCACATGTTCGAAGCGACGCAATGTGCCCATTCTGACGCGTCTTGTGTGGTTCTTGTGCATCCTTCGCGTGGTGCGCGCGTGCAGGATTCGGACAGACATTCGGGGCGATCTGGGCCGTCGGATGCATACACGGCGAGCGGTCGAGATGATGACGATCAGATGGACGATTTCGACCGCGACTCCGCAGGTGCGCGTAAACCATACACTCTACCGCTGGTTCATAGTCGTTCTCCTCTGTCTTTCTCTCTTTCTCTTGCCACCCCGCCGCCCCACTTCGCCTTCTCTTGCCGAAATCTGTGTTTTCTCTGCCCGATCACCTATCTGCTGCGGTCAGGTCAAGATTGAGAGGTGGAAGGGGTCGGATCCGCTCTGTATGACCGCCCGAGTGAGGTCGCGGTTGGGTCATTCTCTTTTCCGCACCCTCATTCCCCCTTCCGCCGTGACCCTTCCCCCTTCCGCCGCAACCCCGTGGCAGGGCGGGAGGCGGAGGAGGCGGAGGGGGATCCGACAACGGCAGCGAGGGCGCGGCTGGGTCATTGTTCTGTTCCGCTCCCCCCTTTCCCCCTCACGCTGTGATTCTGTGGACCCGATGCTGTTCCGCCGTGACTCCGTGGCAGGGCGGGAGGCGGAGGAGGCGGAGGTGGATCTGACGCTGCTCGCGCGGATGGGTCATTTCTCATTTCTCTTTTCTCATTTCCGCTGTGATCCTCTCACAGGGCGGGATGCGGAGGAAGCAGAGGTGGATCCGATGCTGTTTGAGAACGGCAGCGAGGGCGGCGAAGCGGACGGCGCGGCGGGGCGAGCGGGCGAGGAGGAGGAGGAGGAGGGCGAGGATCTGCTGAGGGATGATTTCCTGGAGTGAGTGGAATCTCTCACTCACTCCCTCAGAATGGCTGCTGTGGGTTTCTTGAATGAATAATCGGGAAAGGAAGGAGTGGAAAGGAGTGCTCACATATGAGAGGGAGCACCTGGTGGACAGTGAGGGCGACACCAGGAGCAGCCGGTCATGTGCTGTAACTTCTTCCCAATCCCCCCTCTCTCCACTCCCATTGCAGCGACTACCGCCCCATGCCGCATCTCAACGAGTACGAGAGGGAGCACCTGGCGGACAGTGAGGATGAAACCAGGAGCAGCCGGTCATGTGCTGTAACTTCTCCCAACCCCCCTCCTCCCAGCGACTACCGCCCCATGCCACACCTGGATGAGTACGAGAGGGAGCACCTGGCGGACAGTGAGGGCGACAGCAGCAGGAGCAGAGCAGTGCGGGGTGATGTGCTGTCACCCCTCGCTCCCACCAATCACTCCCAACCCTCTTCCCAATGCCGTGACTACCGCCCCATGCCACACCTGGACGAGTACGAGCGGGAGCAGGTCATGAAGTGCTGTAACCCTTTCATTTTACCTCTCGCCCCTCTCCTCTCCCCTTCCTCACAGTGACTACCGCCCCATGCCCCATCTGGACGAGTACGAGAGGGAGCATCTGGCGGACAGTGAGGGCGACACCAGGAGCAGCGGGCAGCGCGCGGCAGACAGGCGGGCGGCGGAGCGAGAAATGGCGCGCCGAGACGCCGGGAGGAGGGGAGCAGCGGGGGATGATGGGGGGAACCGACTGCCGTCCATCCTCAGGGACCAAGGTGAGATTTTTGAAGGTTTTCAAAAGTGACTTCAATTTGCCGAGACGCCGGGAGGAGGGGTGCTGGGGGGGATGATGGGGGGAACCGACTGCCGTCCATCTTAAGGGAGGGAGTAGGAGTCTTTCGTCCTTGCCCCACCACACGCCCTGCCTTATTCCCTCCCTTCGCCTGTGCCCCTGCCCCCGCTTCCTTTTGCCGTTACCCTTCTCCTTCTCTTTTACCTCTTCTTCCTGTGAGCCCCTTTCCTTCCTGCGTTCTGTGTCCCCCTTTTCTTCTCCCTTACCTCTGCTCCCCATGCCCCAGACGACGACAATAGCGGCCTCTTCACTCGCAGGGGGCAGCACTTACAACCCTTCACTCACCTCGCTGATTGTCGTTCCTCTTCCCTGCCTTTTCCCCTGCTTCCTGCTCCCAGTGCCGCAGACGACGATGACAGTGGCCTCTTCACTCGCAGGGGACAGCGCCGACAACCCCTCACTTCCCTCCTACCTTACCGTTCCTTCCCCCTGCCCTGGCCTTGTCCCTTTACCCCTGCTTCCCGTCTCCCCCAGATGACGATGACAGTGGGCTCTTCACTCGCAGGGGGCAGCGGCCAGATCACCTTTCGCTCATCTCCCTACCTTGTTGCTCCTCTTCTTGCCCTGCGGCACACCCTGCCTTCTCCTTTACCCCTGCTCTCCATCCTCCCCAGATGACGATGACAGCGGGCTCTTCACTCGCAGGGGGCAGCGCCGGCGACGCACCGACTCTGCTGATGCTGCTGTGGGGGTGAGTGCGAGAGAGGGACACTATTATAGCCAAATGCTCTTGGCCTGCTGTGTGTCTATCGCAACTTGTCAGACACTGTCAGGCTGTCGCACCACCCTCCTCCTGTTGAATCGCTTTTCAAGGCACCTTTTTTTCCTTTAGAGTCTCCTGTGCATCGGCTAAACATGATGCTTGCCTCTTCCTAATCCATGCGCGCAGGGGAGCTTTGCCACGGAGGGCACAGGAGGAGGGGAGGAGGACGAGGCAGAGGAGGAGGATGATATCAACGATGACTCGCTGTACAACATGCAGGTGATTCCATCAGTCAGATGTCAGGAGATTTCAACAGTCAGGTGCCAGGCGGAGGGAGGCGGAGGAGCGGGAGGAGGCGGAGGAGGAGGATGATATCAACGATGACTCGCTCTACAACATGCAGGTGATTCCATCAGTCAGATGTCAGTCAGGTTCCAGGCGGAGGGAGGCGGAGGAGCGGGAGGAGGCAGAGGAGGAGGATGATATCAACGATGACTCGCTCTACAACATGCAGGTGATTCCATCAGTCAGATGTCAGGTGATTAAGAGTCAGGACTCAGGTGATTGGTGGTACAGTCAAGTGCTAGGTGGGGCGGAGGAGGAGGATGATATTTAATCATGACTCGCTCTACAACATGCAGGTGATTGCAACAGTCAGGTGATTCCACAGGCAGGTGTCAGGTAATTTCAACAGTCAGGTGATTGCAACAATCATTTGTTGAGAGCATTCAGAGTTCAAGGTATGCACACACTGACGGGGTGCACTCCCTTTCTTCCTTTGCCTGTCCTCTTTCCCCTGTTTTCCTCTACCAGGGAAGCCTGAGGGAGTGGGTCTCCCAGGACGAGGTGCGGCGCTTCCGCCGAACAACCTCTTACCGCACCCCTTCTTCCTTTGCATATTGCCTCCCTGTCCCTAATCTCCCTTGTTCCCCCCCAACAGGGCAGCCTGAGGGAGTGGGTATCGCGGGACGAGGTGCGGCGCTTCATGGCTCGCAAGTTCCGCCACTTCCTGCAGACATTCAAGGACACGCGCGGGCGGCACCGCGGTGACAGCGACGCCGACTATGCCATTCGAATTCGAGAGCTGGTGGAGAGTGCGTTGGGGAGAGGAAGGGATGAGTGGGGGGTGTGGAGATGAATGAAGCGGGGGTTAGTGAGTGAAGCCGACTATGCCATCCGCATTCGCGAGCTGGTGGAGAGTGCGTGGGGGGGGAAGAGAGGGGGGGGGGGGTATGAATGTAGAGGAGGGAGTGATTGGGGCGGCACTGCGGGGACAGCGACGCCGACTACACCATTCGCATCCGCGAGCTGGTGGAGAGTGCGTGTAGTGGGGGGGGAAATAGGAGGGACACTGAGTGGCACCGAGAGAGAGGAAGGCGAGAGTGAATGAATATTTCATGTTACATGTAGTGGAGTGTGAGTGAGGAGAGGATGAGGGTGTGAGCGTGGAGTGGAAGGAATCGGTTGGCACACACCAATGGTCTTCCGCTCTCGTACTTATCCTTAATTTCTTCCGTGCGTGTTGTTTTGCGTGTGTATGTGCTTTTATGGTCGTGCATGTGCATGCGCTTGTGTGCATGGGCATTGAGCAGTGAACAGCTGTTCATTGGAGCTGGACTACTCGCACCTCCTCACCACCCACCCCATCCTCGCCGTCTGGCTCGCTGATGCGCCCAAGCAGGTGAGCGTGTAGGGTTAGGTGCGCACCATACTAGGCACTGCCACACTCGAAGATACATGCATGGACTACTCGCACCTCCTCACCACCCACCCAATTCTCGCTGTGTGGCTCGCTGATGCGCTCAAGCAGGTGAGCACAGTGGGTACGATCCCCATCATGGGTGCGCAACCACAACGCTATCCAACACATTCGTGTTTTGATTCGACTCAAGACGTTTGTGTCTCCCGGCAGTCGGCCTTGGCCTTGCCAAGCTGAGCATCAAAGCCAACAGGTTCTTCTCTCTTTTTCTCCCACCACCAGCTGTTTCACGAGGGGAGGTGTTCCGCGCGTTCCCCATGTACGAGCAGGTGCATGAACGCAACTACGTGCGCATGAGCACTCGCCTCCCATCTGCCCCTTCCATTCCCCCCGTCCCCTGGCCAGGTGCTTGAGGTATTAGATGAGGTGGCACAGGCGGAGGTGTTTCGAGCCTTCCCCATGTACGAGCAGAGCAGCGCGGAGCAGAGCAGGTGCATGAGACTATTTCCCTCTTCCTGGACCACCATCACCAGGTATTGGAGTTTCTTGACAAGGTGGCACAGGCGGAGGTGTTCCGCACGTTCCCCATGTACGAGCAGAGCAGAGCAGGTGCACCAACGCATCTACGTGCGCATGAGCACTCGCCTCCCATCTGCCCCTTCCATCCCCCCTGTCCCCTGCGTAGGTGCTGGAGGTATTAGATGAGGTGGCGCAGGCGGAGGTGTTTCGAGCGTTCCCCATGTACGAGCAGGTGCACGATCGCATCTACGTGCGCGTGGCGGGACTGCCTGTCATCGACCAGATCCGCGACATCAGGTGAATTCAAGAGCAGGAAGTGTCAGGTGATTGCAACAAAGAGCAGTAGGGGGTGTCAGGTGATTGTAACAGAGTAACACGAGGCATTCTGCCTGCAGCCCCATTTCCACTCCAACCAGCATCATCTGATTTGATGATCATCAAGCCTGCATGCTACATTCCGGCTTAGTAACACCTCTACAACGTCACCCCTCCACCACTCATCCCCTGCTCTGTGTGCGCATGGCAGGCAGACGCATCTCAACTGTCTCATCCGCGTGGGGGGTGTTGTCACTCGCAGGACCGGAGTGTTCCCCCAGCTGCAGCAGGTCAGTCACTTGTCTCAGGTGTATCAGGTGGCCTTCTCACCTGCTGGCGACCTGCTCTCCTGCTATTCGCCTGCTGCTCAACGCTTAATCACCGCTCCCTTTTCAGAACATCCGTCCCCACACTGCTGTTCTCTTTCCATGCTGCTCAGTTGCAATGTGTCTCTGTATCCATATACTCGTGCACTTGAATGCCACTTGCCGTACCGCACTGCACCCCTGCAGGTGAAGTACAATTGCATCAAGTGCGCTCTACTTCCAGACGTCCTCCTCTGATATTCGCATCCGCACATGCGCAAAATGCCACTCACCGCACTGCACCGCATTCCCCCTGTCCCTCCCACCGCACCACACTTAACTGCACTCCACCACGCTCCACCGCACTACACTATACTCCATCACACTGCACCGCACTGCACCCCTGCAGGTGAAGTACAACTGCATCAAGTGCGGCGCCATCCTTGGCCCCTTCTTCCAGACGTCCTCCTCGGAGATCCGCATCCGCACGTGCGCTGAGTGCCAGTCCAAGGGGCCCTTCCAAGTCAACGTGGAGCAGGTGAGATCTGATTAAGGGTAGTGCGGTAGGGAGAAAGGGAAGGGTGTGGGCATGCTGCTAGACCTGAGGCATATGCGCCGCTGAGTGCCAGTCCAAGGGACCGTTTCAGGTCAACGTGGAGCAGGTGAGCAGGATGGGTAGACAGGAAGGGTTGCGAGTAGTCATGCTGCTAGGACAACTCAGGATCTAACGCTGAGTGCAAGTCCAAAAGGCAGCAGGGTTCTTGTCTCGTTTTAGACTTTTAGTTGATCTTCAATGCCACAACCATGAATTCCAAGTTTCCCCTCGTTGTCCCCTTCCCCTCCGCCCACCAGACCATCTACCGCAACTACCAGAAGATGACCCTGCAGGAGAGCCCTGGCAGCGTTCCAGCGGGGCGGCTGCCGCGCTACAAGGAGGTGGTGCTGCTGAATGACCTCATTGACTGCGCCAGGCCGGGGGAGGAGATTGTGAGTGCAAAGAAAGCAAGACAGATTCCTTGCTGCATGTTTGATCGTGTGTGTGTGTCATGACTAGGAGATGGTGCTGCTCAATGTCTTCATCGGCTGCGCACCACCGGGGTATGAGAGGTTGTGAGTTTCAGTATCGAGGGTGAACGAAGCTGGGTGTAGCTATGTTTGTCCCTGCGCTCAGGCATTGATGTGAACGACAAACGTTGGGGCTGCTCTTGTTTCCATTCCACTCCTTCCTACCCACCCCACCCGCTCTTCCCCTTCCTCCGGACCCACCCCCCCACCCCTTCCTCCGCCCCCAACAGGAGGTGACGGGCATCTATGTGAACAACTTTGATGCAGCACTGAACACACGGCAGGGCTTCCCCGTGTTCTCCACGGTGATAGAGGCGAACCACGTCAGCAAGCGACAGGACGCATTTGCTGCGTACCGGCTGACGGACGAGGACAAGGAGGAGATCATGCGGCTTTCGAGGGACCCACGCATTGCTGAGCGGGTGAGCTGGGATAGTGAGTTGGGAGGGTGAGCTGGGATAGTGAGTTGGGAGGGTGAGTTGGGATGGTGTGGTTTGAGGGTGTGTGAGTAGGGTGCGAGGATGGAAGGCAGGACGCCTTTGCTGCTTACCGGCTCACTGATGAAGACAAGGAGGAGACCATGCGGCTGTCCCGGGACCTACGCATTGCTGAACAGGTGAGCTCGGAGGGAGGGAGAAAGGGTGTGGGCGGAGCATGAGAGAAGGAAGAGGGTGAAGCTATCGTGCTGTCCATCTACGGGCATTCCTCTAACACAAGCCTCACCTCCCCCATCCCTCTCCACTCCATCCTTCTCTCCTCCCATTCCCCCTCCCCTCCAGGTCATCAAGTCCATCGCCCCTTCCATCTATGGGCACGAGAACGTGAAGACATCATTGGCTCTGGCCATGTTCGGGGGGCAGGAGAAGATGCTGTCTTCCCAATGCTGGCTTCCCTCCTTTCCCCTGCCACTTCTCTCATCTCCAGATCATCAAGTCCATCGCCCCTTCCATCTACGGCCACGACAACGTGAAGACCTCCCTAGCGTTGGCCATGTTCGGGGGGCAGGAGAAGAATGCGGGGGGCAAGCACCGGCTGAGAGGCGACATCAACGTGCTGCTGCTGGGAGACCCAGGCACGGCCAAGTCTCAGTTCCTCAAGTGAGTGCTTGGTGGGGGAAAGTGTGACAAGGAATGAGGGAATGAGTGTAAGCCTGTAAGGGGGCATCAGCGGTGTGGCTGACAGCCACCGTGCACAAGGGTGGACCATATTCAGGCCCCTCACCATGTTTAAGGGGGGTGGGAACTGCTGTAGGCCTCTCACCGCTGCCTCTACCTCTGCCTGTGCTCCTGCCTCTGCTTGTGGTTATCCCTTACCGCCAGGTACCTGGAAAAGACGGCCCATCGTGCCGTGTACACGACGGGCAAGGGCGCATCAGCGGTGGGACTGACAGCAGCCGTGCACAAGGACCCCGTCACACGCGAGTGGGCCCTGGAGGGGGGGAAGCTGCTATAGCCGTCTCACCCCTGCCTGTGCCCTTGCCTGTGCCTGTGCTTGTACTTTCAACCAGGTACCTGGAAAAGACAGCTCACAGGGCCGTTTACACAACGGGCAAGGGCGCATCAGCGGTGGGGCTGACAGCAGCCGTGCACAAGGACCCCGTCACGCGCGAGTGGACCCTGGAGGGAGGGGCTCTGGTGCTGGCGGATAGGGGCACTTGCCTGATAGACGAGTTTGACAAGATGAGCGAACAGGACAGGTGGGACTGGGGCAGAGGGGACAGACAGGGGGGCAGGGGGATTTGTGGGGCAGGGGGAACTGTGGAGCAGGGGGGTGGTGTGTGGGGTAAGGTGTCTGATGCTCCACTTGCATTCTACCCATCCCAATCTGCACCACACCCCGTGTCCCTCACACCTTGCCCCACACACTCCATGCATGCCCCTCCCAGGATGTCTATCCAGAGGCCATGGAGCAGCAGAGCATCAGCTAATGCTCCTCTTGCCATTCGCCCCACACACCCCGTGCCATGCCCTGCCCCCCACACCTTGCACCATGCCCCTCCCAGGGTGTCCATGAGCATCAGCTCAAGTGTCTGATGCTCCTCTTGCCATTGCTGACTTGCGCCCACACACCCCATGCCCCTCCCAGGGTGTCCATCCACGAGGCCATGCCATGGAGCAGCAGAGCATCAGCTGAGGCTGACGTGACTGTGCGGGCTGATGCTCCTCTTGCTGTTTGCCCTTCACCCCATCTCCCACACACCTCTCACCGTCTACCTCTCAGGATGTCCATTCACGAGGCGATGGAGCAGCAAAGCATCGGCATCAGCTTCGGTGTCTGCCCCACACAAGCATATCCCTCACACCATGTCCCTCTCTCGCCATCCACCCCACAGGGTGTCCATTCACGAAGCCATGGAGCAGCAGAGCATCAGCATCAGCATCAGCTGAGGTGTATGTTGCTCCTCTTGCCATTTTATATTCCCAACTTGCCCCTCACATTCACCTCTCAGGGTGTCCATCCACGAGGCCATGGAGCAGCAGAGCATCAGCATCAGCAAAGCGGGCATCGTCACATCCCTCGCTGCTAGATGCTCCGTCATTGCCGCTGCCAACCCCATTGGGGGAAGGTGGGTCATTGCATGTTGAAATGTGGGGCATATGCATCCCTTGGTCTGCCATTGCTCAGCATCAGCATCAGCGAGGCGGGCATCGTCACGACCCTCGCTGCCAAATGCTCTGTCATTGCCGCTGCCAACCCCATTGGGGGCCGGTAAGATTGGTTCTGCTGCCGATTGTGCTGGTTGGGGGGAGTTGAGTGGGTCGTATGCCCTACATCAGCATCAGCATCAGCATCAGCATCAGCATCAGCATCAGCATCAGCATCAGCATCAGCATCAGCATCAGCATCAGCATCAGCATCAGCATCAGCATCAGCATCAGCATCAGCATCAGCATCAGCATCAGCATCAGCATCAGCATCAGCATCAGCATCAGCATCAGCATCAGCATCAGCATCAGCATCAGCGCATCAGCGCATCAGCGCATCAGCATCAGCATCAGCATCAGCATCAGCATCAGCATCAGCATCAGCATCAGCATCAGCATCAGCATCAGCATCAGCATCAGCATCAGCATCAGCATCAGCATCAGCATCAGCATCAGCATCAGCATCAGCATCAGCGCATCAGCGCATCAGCATCAGCATCAGCATCAGCATCAGCATCAGCATCAGCATCAGCATCAGCATCAGCATCAGCATCAGCATCAGCATCAGCATCAGCATCAGCATCAGCATCAGCATCAGCGCATCAGCATCAGCATCAGCATCAGCATCAGCATCAGCATCAGCATCAGCATCAGCATCAGCATCAGCATCAGCATCAGCATCAGCATCAGCATCAGCATCAGCATCAGCATCAGCATCAGCATCAGCATCAGCATCAGCATCAGCATCAGCATCAGCATCAGCATCACCATCACCATCAGCATCAGCATCAGCATCAGCGCATCAGCATCAGCATCAGCATCAGCATCAGCATCAGCATTAGCATCAGCATCAACATCAGCATCAGCATCAGCATCAGCATCAGCATCAGCGCATCAGCATCAGCATCAGCATCAGCGCATCAGCGCATCAGCATCAGCATCAGCATCAGCATCAGCATCAGCATCAGCATCAGCATCAGCATCAGCGCATCAGCATCAGCATCAGCATCAGCATCAGCATTAGCATCAGCATCAACATCAGCATCAGCATCAGCATCAGAATCAGCATCAGCATCAGCATCAGCATCAGCATCAGCATCAGCATCAGCATCAGCATCAGCATCAGCATCAGCATCAGCATCAGCATCAGCATCAGCGCATCAGCGCATCAGCGCATCAGCATCAGCATCAGCATCAGCATCAGCATCAGCATCAGCATCAGCATCAGCATCAGCATCAGCATCAGCATCAGCATCAGCATCAGCATCAGCATCAGCATCAGCATCAGCATCAGCATCAGCATCAGCATCAGCGCATCAGCGCATCAGCATCAGCATCAGCATCAGCATCAGCATCAGCATCAGCATCAGCATCAGCATCAGCATCAGCATCAGCATCAGCATCAGCATCAGCATCAGCATCAGCATCAGCACATCAGCATCAGCATCAGCATCAGCATCAGCATCAGCATCAGCATCAGCATCAGCATCAGCATCAGCATCAGCATCAGCATCAGCATCAGCATCAGCATCAGCATCAGCATCAGCATCAGCATCAGCATCAGCATCAGCATCAGCATCAGCATCAGCATCAGCATCAGCATTAGCATCATCACCATCACCATCAGCGCATCAGCATCAGCATCAGCATCAGCATCAGCATTAGCATCAGCATCAACATCAGCATCAGCATCAGCATCAGCATCAGCATCAGCGCATCAGCATCAGCATCAGCATCAGCGCATCAGCGCATCAGCATCAGCATCAGCATCAGCATCAGCATCAGCATCAGCATCAGCATCAGCATCAGCGCATCAGCATCAGCATCAGCATCAGCATCAGCATTAGCATCAGCATCAACATCAGCATCAGCATCAGCATCAGAATCAGCATCAGCATCAGCATCAGCATCAGCATCAGCATCAGCATCAGCATCAACATCAGCATCAGCATCAGCATCAGCATCAGCATCAGCGCATCAGCATCAGCATCAGCATCAGCATCAGCATCAGCATCAGCATCAGCATCAGCATCAGCATCAGCATCAGCATCAGCATCACCATCACCGTCACCATCAGCGCATCAGCATCAGCATCAGCATCAGCATCAGCATTAGCATCAGCATCAACATCAGCATCAGCATCAGCATCAGCGCATCAGCATCAGCATTAGCATCAGCATCAGCATCAGCATTAGCATCAGCATCAACATCAGCATCAGCATCAGCATCAGCATCAGCATCAGCGCATCAGCATCAGCATCAGCATCAGCGCATCAGCGCATCAGCATCAGCATCAGCATCACCATCACCATCACCATCAGCAGCATCAGCATCAGCATCAGCATTAGCATCAGCATCAACATCAGCATCAGCATCAGCATCAGAATCAGCATCAGCATCAGCATCAGCATCAGCATCAGCATCAGCATCAGCATCAGCATCAGCATCAGCATCAGCATCAGCATCAGCATCAGCATCAGCATCAGCATCAGCATCAGCATCAGCATCAGCATCAGCATCAGCGCATCAGCATCAGCATCAGCATCAGCATCAGCATTAGCATCAGCGCATCCACATCAGCATCAGCATCAGCATCAGAATCAGCATCAGCATCAGCATCAGCATCAGCATCAGCATTAGCATCAGCATCAACATCAGCATCAGCATCAGCATCAGCATCAGCGCATCAGCATCAGCATCAGCATCAGCATCAGCATCAGCATCAGAATCAGCATCAGCATCAGCATCAGCATCAGCATCAGCATTAGCATCAGCATCAACATCAGCATCAGCATCAGCATCAGCATCAGCATCAGCGCATCAGCATCAGCATCAGCATCAGCGCATCAGCGCATCAGCATCAGCATCAGCATCAGCATCAGCATCAGCATCAGCATCAGCATCAGCATCAGCATCAGCATCAGCATCAGCATCAGCATCAGCATCAGCATCAGCATCAGCATCAGCATCAGCATCAGCATCACCATCACCATCAGCATCAGCATCAGCATCAGCATCTGCATCAGCATCAGCATCAGCATCAGCATCAACATCAGCATCAGCATCAGCATCAGAATCAGCATCAGCATCAGCATCAGCATCAGCATCAGCATTAGCATCAGCATCAACATCAGCATCAGCATCAGCATCAGCATCAGCATCAGCGCATCAGCATCAGCATCAGCATCAGCATCAGCATCAGCATCAGCATCAGCATCAGCATCAGCATCAGCATCAGCATCAGCATCAGCAGCATCAGCACATCAGCATCAGCATCAGCATCAGCATCAGCATCAGCATCAGCATCAGCATCAGCATCAGCGCATCAGCATCAGCATCAGCATCAGCATCAGCATTAGCATCAGCATCAACATCAGCATCAGCATCAGCATCAGAATCAGCATCAGCATCAGCATCAGCATCAGCATCAGCATTAGCATCAGCATCAACATCAGCATCAGCATCAGCATCAGCATCAGCGCATCAGCATCAGCATCAGCATCAGCATCAGCATCAGCATCAGAATCAGCATCAGCATCAGCATCAGCATCAGCATCAGCATTAGCATCAGCATCAACATCAGCATCAGCATCAGCATCAGCATCAGCATCAGCGCATCAGCATCAGCATCAGCATCAGCGCATCAGCGCATCAGCATCAGCATCAGCATCAGCATCAGCATCAGCATCAGCATCAGCATCAGCATCAGCATCAGCATCAGCATCAGCATCAGCATCAGCATCAGCATCAGCATCAGCATCACCATCACCATCAGCATCAGCATCAGCATCAGCATCTGCATCAGCATCAGCATCAGCATCAGCATCAACATCAGCATCAGCATCAGCATCAGAATCAGCATCAGCATCAGCATCAGCATCAGCATCAGCATTAGCATCAGCATCAACATCAGCATCAGCATCAGCATCAGCATCAGCATCAGCGCATCAGCATCAGCATCAGCATCAGCGCATCAGCGCATCAGCATCAGCATCAGCATCAGCATCAGCATTAGCATCAGCATCAACATCAGCATCAGCATCAGCATCAGCGCATCAGCGCATCAGCATCAGCATCAGCATCAGCATCAGCATCAGCATCAGCATCAGCATCAGCATCAGCATCAGCGCATCAGCATCAGCATCAGCATCAGCATCAGCATTAGCATCAGCATCAACATCAGCATCAGCATCAGCATCAGAATCAGCATCAGCATCAGCATCAGCATCAGCATCAGCATTAGCATCAGCATCAACATCAGCATCAGCATCAGCATCAGCATCAGCATCAGCGCATCAGCATCAGCATCAGCATCAGCGCATCAGCGCATCAGCATCAGCATCAGCATAAGCATCAGCATCAGCATCAGCGCATCAGCATCAGCATCAGCATTAGCATCAGCATCAACATCAGCATCAGCATCAGCATCAGCATCAGCGCATCAGCATCAGCGCATCAGCATCAGCATCAGCATCAGCATCAGCATCAGCGCATCAGCATCAGCGCATCAGCATCAGCGCATCAGCATCAGCATCAGCATCAGCGCATCAGCATCAGCATCAGCATCAGCATCAGCATCAGCGCATCAGCATCAGCATCAGCATCAGCGTATCAGCATCAGCATCAGCATCAGCGCATCAGCATCAGCATCAGCGCATCAGCATCAGCATCAGCATCAGCATCAGTGCATCAGCATCAGCATCAGCGTCAGCATCAGCATCAGCATCAGCATCTGCATCAGCATCAGCATCAGCATCAGCGCATCAGCATCAGCGCATCAGCATCAGCATCAGCATCAGCATCAGCATCAGCGCATCAGCATCAGCATCAGCATCAGCGCATCAGCATCAGCGCATCAGCATCAGCATCAGCGCATCAGCATCAGCATCAGCATCAGCAGCATCAGCATCAGTATCAGCATCAGCATCAGCATCAGCATCAGCATCAGCATCAGCGCATCAGCATCAGCATCAGCATCAGCATCAGCGCATCAGCATCAGCATCAGCGCATCAGCATCAGCATCAGCATCAGCATCAGCATCAGCATCAGCGCATCAGCATCGGCATCAGCATCAGCATCAGCATCAGCGCATCAGCATCAGCGCATCAGCATCAGCATCAGCATCAGCATCAGCATCAGCATCAGCATCAGCGCATCAGCATCAGCATCAGCATCAGCATCAGCATCAGCGCATCAGCATCAGCATCATCAGCATCAGCATCAGCATCAACATCAGCATCAGCATCAGCATCAGCATCAGCGCATCAGCATCAGCATTAGCATCAGCATCAGCATCAGCGCATCAGCATCAGCATCAGCGCATCAGCATCAGCATCAGCATCAGCATCAGCATCAGCGTATCAGCATCAGCATCAGCGTCAGCATCAGCTCATCAGTATCATCAGCATCAGCATCAGCATCAGCATCAGCGCATCAGCATCAGCATCAGCATCAGCATCAGCATCAGCGCATCAGCATCAGCATCAGCATCAGCATCAGCATCAGCATCAGCATCGCATCAGCATCAGCGCCAACATCAGCTCATCAGCATCAGCAGCATCAGCATCAGCATCAGCATCGGCATCAGCATCAGCACATCAGCATCAGCATCAGCATCAGCATCAGCGCATCAGCATCAGCATCAGCGCATCAGCATCAGCGCATCAGCATCAGCGCATCAGCATCAGCGCATCAGCATCAGCATCAGCATCAGCGCATCAGCATCAGCATCAGCATCAGCATCAGCATCAGCATCAGCACATCAGCATCAGCATCAGCATCAGCATCAGCGCATCAGCATCAGCATCAGCATCAGCATCAGCATCAGCGCATCAGCATCAGCATCAGCGCATCAGCATCAGCATCAGCATCAGCGCATCAGCATCAGCGCATCAGCATCAGCATCAGCGCATCAGCATCAGCATCAGCATCAGCAGCATCAGCATCAGTATCAGCATCAGCATCAGCATCAGCATCAGCATCAGCATCAGCGCATCAGCATCAGCATCAGCATCAGCGCATCAGCGCATCAGCATCAGCATCAGCGCATCAGCATCAGCATCAGCATCAGCATCAGCGCATCAGCATCGGCATCAGCATCAGCATCAGCATCAGCGCATCAGCATCAGCGCATCAGCATCAGCATCAGCATCAGCATCAGCGCATCAGCATCAGCATCAGCATCAGCATCAGCGCATCAGCATCAGCATCAGAATCAGCATCAGCATCAGCATCAGCATCAACATCAGCATCAGCATCAGCATCAGCATCAGCGCATCAGCATCAGCATTAGCATCAGCATCAGCATCAGCGCATCAGCATCAGCATCAGCGCATCAGCATCAGCATCAGCATCAGCATCAGCATCAGCATCAGCGTATCAGCATCAGCATCAGCGTCAGCATCAGCTCATCAGTATCATCAGCATCAGCATCAGCATCAGCATCAGCGCATCAGCATCAGCATCAGCATCAGCATCAGCATCAGCATCAGCACATCAGCATCAGCATCAGCATCAGCATCAGCATCAGCATCGGCATCAGCATCAGCGCATCAGCGCATCAGCATCAGCGCATCAGCATCAGCATCAGCATCAGCATCAGCACATCAGCATCAGCATCAGCATCAGCATCAGCGCATCAGCATCAGCATCAGCGCATCAGCATCAGCGCATCAGCATCAGCGCATCAGCATCAGCGCATCAGCATCAGCGCATCAGCATCAGCATCAGCATCAGCATCAGCGCATCAGCATCAGCATCAGCATCAGCATCAGCATCAGCATCAGCGCATCAGCATCAGCATCAGCATCAGCATCAGCGCATCAGCATCAGCATCAGCGCATCAGCATCAGCATCAGCATCAGCATCAGCATCAGCGCATCAGCATCAGCGCATCAGCATCAGCGCATCAGCATCAGCGCATCAGCATCAGCATCAGCATCAGCGCATCAGCATCAGCATCAGCATCAGCATTGCATCAGCATCAGCGCATCAGCATCAGCATCAGCATCAGCGCATCAGCATCAGAATCAGCATCAGCATCAGCATCAGCGCATCAGCATCAGCGCATCAGCATCAGCATCAGCATCAGCATCAGCATCAGCGCATCAGCATCAGCATCAGCATCAGCGCATCAGCATCAGCGCATCAGCATCAGCGCATCAGCATCAGCATCAGCATCAGCATCAGCATCAGTGCATCAGCATCAGCATCAGCATCAGCATCAGCATCAGCGCATCAGCATCAGCGCATCAGCATCAGCGCATCAGCATCAGCATCAGCATCAGCATCTGCATCAGCATCAGCGCATCAGCATCAGCGCATCAGCATCAGCATCAGCGCATCAGCATCAGCATCAGCATCAGCGCATCAGCATCAGCATCAGCATCAGCATCAGCATCAGCATCAGCATCAGCATCAGCGCATCAGCATCAGCGCAACAGCATCAGGCATCAGCATCAGCATCAGCATCAGCGCATCAGCATCAGCATCAGCATCAGCATCAGCATCAGCGCATCAGCATCAGCATCAGCGCATCAGCATCAGCATCAGCATCAGCATCAGCATCAGCGCATCAGCATCAGCATCAGCATCAGCATCAGCGCATCAGCATCAGCGCATCAGCATCAGCGCATCAGCATCAGCGCATCAGCATCAGCATCAGCATCAGCATCAGCATCAGCATCAGCATCAGCATCAGCATCAGCATCAGCGCATCAGCATCAGAATCAGCATCAGCATCAGCATCAGCGCATCAGCATCAGCGCATCAGCATCAGCATCAGCATCAGCGCATCAGCATCAGCATCAGCATCAGCATCAGCGCATCAGCATCAGCGCATCAGCATCAGCATCAGCATCAGCATCAGCGCATCAGCATCAGCATCAGCATCAGCATCAGCATCAGCATCAGCGCATCAGCATCCATCAGCATCAGCATCAGCATCAGCATCAGCATCAGCGCATCAGCATCAGCATCAGCATCAGCATCAGCATCAGCATCAGCATCAGCGCATCAGCATCAGCGCATCAGCATCAGCATCAGCATCAGCATCAGCATCAGCGCATCAGCGCATCAGCATCAGCATCAGCATCAGCATCAGCGCATCAGCATCAGCATCAGCATCAGCATCAGCATCAGCATCAGCGCATCAGCATCAGCATCAGCATCAGCATCAGCATCAGCATCAGCGCATCAGCATCAGCATCAGCATCAGCATCAGCATCAGCGCATCAGCATCAGCATCAGCATCAGCATCAGCATCAGCGCATCAGCATCAGCGCATCAGCATCAGCATCAGCATCAGCATCAGCATCAGCATCAGCGCATCAGCATCAGCATCAGCATCAGCATCAGCATCAGCATCAGCGCATCAGCATCAGCATCAGCATCAGCATCAGCATCAGCATCAGCGCATCAGCATCAGCATCAGAATCAGCATCAGCATCAGCATCAGCGCATCAGCATCAGCATCAGCGCATCAGCATCAGCGCATCAGCATCAGCATCAGCGCATCAGCATCAGCGCATCAGCATCAGCATCAGCGCATCAGCATCAGCATCAGCATCAGCATCAGCATCAGCGCATCAGCATCAGCATCAGCATCAGCATCAGCATCAGCATCAGCATCAGCATCAGCATCAGCATCAGCATCAGCATCAGCATCAGCATCAGCATCAGCATCAGCATCAGCATCAGCATCAGCATCAGCATCAGCATCAGCATCAGCATCAGCATCAGCATCAGCATCAGCATCAGCGCATCAGCATCAGCATCAGCATCAGCATCAGCATCAGCGCATCAGCATCAGCATCAGCATCAGCATCAGCATCAGCGCATCAGCATCAGCATCAGCATCAGCATCAGCATCAGCGCATCAGCATCGGCATCAGCATCAGCATCAGCATCAGCATCAGCATCAGCGCATCAGCATCAGCATCAGCATCAGCATCAGCGCATCAGCATCAGCATCAGCATCAGCGCATCAGCATCAGCGCATCAGCATCAGCGCATCAGCATCAGCGCATCAGCATCAGCGCATCAGCATCAGCATCAGCATCAGCATCAGCATCAGCGCATCAGCATCAGCATCAGCATCAGCATCAGCGCATCAGCATCAGCATCAGCATCAGCATCAGCGCATCAGCATCAGCATCAGCATCAGCGTCAGCATCAGCATCAGCATCAGCATCAGCATCGGCATCAGCATCAGCGCATCAGCATCAGCATCAGCATCAGCATCAACATCAGCATCAGCATCAGCATCAGCATTAGCATCAGCATCAGCATCAGCATCAGCGCATCAGCATCAGCATCAGCATCAGCATCAGCGCATCAGCATCAGCATCAGCGCATCAGCATCAGCGCATCAGCATCAGCATCAGCATCAGCGCATCAGCATCAGCATCAGCATCAGCATCAGCGCATCAGCATCAGCATCAGCATCAGTGCATCAGCATCAGCGCATCAGCATCAGCATCAGCATCAGCATCAGCATCAGCATCAGTGCATCAGCATCAGCGCATCAGCATCAGCATCAGCATCAGCAGCATCAGCATCGGCATCAGCATCAGCATCAGCATCAGCGCATCAGCATCAGCGCATCAGCATCAGCATCAGCATCAGCATCATTACCCCCTCTCACATGCATCTCCCTCACTTGCTGTTCCTCTCCTCTCACAGGTACGACTCCAGCAAGACGTTCGGGCAGAACGTGGAACTTTCAGAGCCCATCCTCTCTCGCTTTGACTGCCTGCTCGTCATCAAGGTGCGTGTATGCCGTGTGCTGGCAAGGTGCATGTGTTGTGGACACGTGGCGCACGTGTGATGCACATGTGGTGGGCATGCTGTGTGGTGTGGAGCTCTCAGAGCCCATCCTCTCTCGCTTTGACTGCCTGCTCGTCATCAAGGTGCGTGCATGAAGTGAAAACTCCTCATACCCCTCATGAACTTCTCACCACACATCCCCGCTTCTTGCCTCGCGTCTCGGTGCTTACAACTCACTTCAAGATCTGGTGGATCCAGTGGTGGTTGAGCACTTGGCGCGCTTTGCTGTGTTGACTGGGCCACACCTCTCACATCTTCCCCCCCTCCTTCTCCCACTCTCTTCTCTGCCCGCCTTTGCACATACCCCTCATACCCCGCCTCAGGATCCAGTGGTGGATGAGCACTTGGCGCGCTTTGCTGTGCTGGCTGGGCCACCCGTCACGCACATCTCCAAACCTCCCCCTCCTGCTCTCTTCACTGCTTGTCGTTGCACACCCCCTCATACCCCACTCCGGGACCTGGTGGATCCAGTAATGGACAAGCACTTGGCGCGCTTTGCTGTGATGGAAGGGCCGCAACTTGCCCGTTCTTTTCTTTCCCTGTCTGTGTGCGCGTCACTGCAGGACCTGGTAGACCCAATGGTGGACGAGCACTTGGCGCGCTTTGCTGTGGTGGCTGGGCCACACACGCCTCTCACACTCTCCTCCCTCGCTTCTCTCTTCCTCTCCATGCACACCCCCTCATACCCCACTCCAGGACCTGGTCGACCCAGTGGTGGACGAGCACTTGGCACGCTTTGTAGTGGGCAGCCATCAGAAGTCGCACCCTCAGGCGCATGGGCATGGGCATGGGCATGGGCATGGCAGCGACGGGCCAGCGAGAGAGGAGGACCCCGATGTACGTATGCGTGCTGAACCCTGCTAGGGAACAGGTATTGTCGTGCCGTGCTGGACTAGTTTTGTGTCGAGCAGGCAGCCATCAGAAGTCACACCCGCAGGGTCACGGGCACGCTGCTGATGGGCAAGCGAGAGAGGGGGACCCTGTTGTACGTGTATATGCTGATCCTGTTGAGGGAACATGACAGGTATTGCTGTGCTGGGTTAGCTTTGTGGTGGGCTGGGCAGTCACCAGAAATCCTATCTGCAGGCGCATGGGCTTGTCGGTGATGGGCAGGCGGCGAGGGAGAAAGATCCTGATGTATGCCGCCGGGACCTACATGGGAAGAGGCTTATGGGCATATACAGGGTGCATGCTCATTTCTCACCCTGTATGTGCTGGCCTTGTAACGAAGTTCGTCACCTACGCCCGCCAGCCAGGACGTCTTTCCGTGCATGCATGAAACAGGCGCTGACAAGACGGCTCTGGCCCATGCCCACTGCCTTCTGTCCCTGTGCTGCAGGTCATCCCGCAGGACCTTCTCAGGAAGTACGTCACCTACGCCCGCCGGAACGTCTTCCCTTTACCGAGGCACGTGAACATGTGGCACTTCTTTTCCTCTTTCACATACCTCAGGTCATCCCGCAGGACCTTCTGAGAAAATACGTCACCTACGCCCGCCAGAACGTCTTCCCTCGCATGCACGATGCTGACGCCGACAAGATTGCGCTTGTATACGCCGACCTGCGCCGGCAGTCCCTGGTGGGTGGGGGATTTGGGGGTGGGGGGTGGGTGGGTGGGCTTTCATAGAGTGCAGTGGATCCAAGCGTCTTCCCTCGCATGCACGATGCTGACGCTGACAGGATTGCGCTTGTATACGCCGACCTGCGCTGGCAGTCCCTGGTGGGTGGTGGTGGGTGTGTGGTGGTGGGTGGGTGGTGGTGGGTTGGGCATATGTACATTGATACATTGATACGCTCCCCCATTCCCCTCTGCTTTTCCCAACCACCAGCAAGGGCAGGGCGTGCCAATCGCGGTGCGCCACGTGGAATCAATGATCCGCATGGCAGAGGCGCACGCCAGGATGCATCTGCGACCGTTCGTCACGGACGATGACGTGGACACCGCCATCCGCGTGCTGCTGGAGTCGTTCATTGGCACTCAGAAATATGGCGTGCAGCGTGCACTCGAAAAGGTAAGGCAGCATGGGTCTGGCTGCATGTATGGGGTCAGGTTGGGGAACTGACAGGGAAGTGGATCCTGGTTGGGTCTTAGTTCGTCACGGACGATGACGTGGATACCGCCATTCGTGTTGTGCTTGAGTCGTTCATTGGCACGCAGAAGTACGGCGCGCAGCGGGCTCTGGAGAAGGTAGGAATGATGACTCGGACCTGCTATGGCAGTCTTTCAGTCACTACATGTTGCTCTGCTGGGACCTGCACCCACTGCTGCTGGAAGTAGCTGGGGCAGCAGCTGCCGGGAATGCCTACACATATTTTTCCCTCTTATCCTTCCTATCCCGCTCTGTATCCCTCCCTGTCCCTTCCAGTCCTTCAGTCGTTACATGTCTCACCGGAGGGATCTGCACCAGCTGCTGCTGCACCTGCTGCGGCAGCAGCTGAGGGAGGCGCTGAGGCTGAGGGACCTGGGGTGGACGCAGCCCAGCAGGCGCGGGGGAGGGGCGGCGGGCGAGGGAGAGGAGGTGGTGGAGATGCGAGTGGACGAGCTGGAAGCCAAGGTGAGATGGGTGTGAGGCAGGTGTGAGGGAAGGTGGGATGGGCAGCAGCTGAGGGAGGCGCTGAGGCTGAGGGACCTGGGGTGGACGCAGCCCAGCAGGCGTGGGGGAGGGGCGGCAGGCGAGGGGGAGGAGGTGGTGGAAATGCGAGTGGACGAGCTGGAAGCCAAGGTGAGGTGGTTCTGAGGTGGGATGGATGCAAGACAAGGTGGAAGATGAGTTGAGGGTTTGGAGATTGAGGGGGGGGAGGTGGTGGAAATGCGAGTGGATGAGCTGGAAGCCAAGGTGAGATGGGTGTGAGGTGGGATGGGTGTAAGATGAGATGGAAGCAAGGGGGGGTAGTAAGTTAAGTTGGGAGTTGAGTTGAGACTATGTGATCGAGGCGGAGGTGGTGGAAATGCGAGTGGATGAGCTGGAAGCCAAGGTGAGATGGTTCCAATCCGATTGACTCAAAGCTCTGCCCCTGCAGTACCCACTGACGTACCCTCACACTCACGAGCATGGGATGCCACCAGTGACGTACAGCTTTTTCTTCGCCAACTATTGAACCCAGCATGATCTTCCTTGCCTTCTCCTCGTCCCTCTTCTCCCATCCACTCCATCCCCTCCTTCCAGGCTCGTGAGTACGGCATAGTGGATCTGAGCGCTTTCTTTGTCACTTTTCTGACAATCGCTTCACACTCGTTATGCTTTTCCTCCTCCCCTCTTCCCTTCTGTTCCTTTCCCCACCCTGCTTTCCCCCGGGCTCGGGAATACAGCATAGTGAATCTGAGCTCCTTCTTTGCAAGCCGCCACTTCACAGGCAACCACTTGACACTCGATAGGCTCCCTCCCCCTCCCCTGTTCCTTATGTTTCCCACCCTTCTTTCCCCCTCCTTCCAGGCTCAGGAGTATGGCATTGTGGATATGAGCTCTTTCTTTGCGAGCCGCCACTTCACAGGCAACCACTTGACACTCGATAGGCTCCACCCCCTCACCTGTTCCCCATGTTTCCCTCCCACCTTATCCCCCTGGCTCGTGAGTATGGCATAGTGGATCTGAGCTCTTTCGTTGCCAGCCACCACTTCACAGACAGCCACTTCACTTTGATACGCTGCACCCCCTCCCCTGTTGCCCTTGTTTCTCACCCTCCTTTCCCTCAGGCTCGCGAGTATGGCATAGTGGATCTGAGCTCTTTCTTTGCCAGCCGCCACTTCACTGACAACCACTTCACACTCGACACGCTCCACCGCGTCATGCTGCACCCCGTGGTGTAGACATGCAGTGTGCCCTGCACCAGTGGGTGTAAACACACAGTGCACCCAGTCATTTCACAGACAACCACTTCACTCTCGATACGCTCCACCGCGTCGTGCTGCACCCCGTGGTGTACGGTAGATGTGCAGTGCACCCTGCACCAGTAGGTGTAGATGCACAGTGCACTCTGGTGTAGATACAGAGTGTACCCTGCACCACGAGATGTAGAGTATGGGAGCCATCCTTAGGGAGTATGGTGAGGGCATTCTAGTGTAGTCAGGGAGGGCACCCTCATTCCCGGTACTCCCTTACCGTACTTGCCAGCCACCATTCCACTAACAGCCATTTCTCCCATCATGCACTTCACCGTGAGCTACAGTGTTTCTGCTGCTGCTGCTGCTGCTGCTGCCCCAGACCTTGCCGTTCCAGCTACAGGCACCGGTCGGGTTAAACATTAGTACTCGTGACACTTCTCTTGTGAAATGGCTACACCACTTACACCCTAATCTGGAAGGATTGGCGTTTGCTGCACTAACAGCTGTTGCATGGTTTGTTAGCTCGTTCTAGAAAGGTGTTCTAGAAAGGTGAAAATGGTTTACTATGGATTAAATACAGGTTTGGGACAAGTTAGGGCATGTTCCTACGGCCCCTTATCAGGCCAACCTCCTGTCAAGCTCGCTAGTTTTGCCTCTGGAAATTTCCGAAACCCGAAAACCCTCGCTGCTTTCACCAGGCAAGGCTGACAAGAGGTTTGCCTGATAAGAGCGTAGGAACATGCCCTTAATGCAGCCGCACAACCTATCATTGGTCCAGCTGCCACCAATAGTGCATGCACAGGCAAGCACATGCACACCTACTGGTGTAAGAAAGCAAATCTAAGCACCCTCTGCCAATTTGCAGAGCACGCAGTAAAGCACTTCCAACCCCGAAGGGTGGGCTCTTCGTGTGGAAGACCCCTGGTGAGAGATCCCATCTACCAACCTACCGTAGTTCACGAATCTGATGTTCTACCCTACAATGGATGGCCATGTGAATGGCAACAGATGAGGGATGGATTGCGTTTGGCAGGTCAGCAGAGCGGTGCGGATTGGTTCGGCAGGGTGGAGATGGTGGCGATGGCGGTGGTGTGGCACTCCAGTGACCAGCACACCCACAGGTGTGGCTGGCAGAGTGTTGGCTGGCAAAGTCATTGACCAGGAGCATGGGCTTGTCAATAGCACTCCCTTCACCATCCACAGAAACTCACAGATGGCTTTCCCCTTCCAACTTCAAACTCCGTCAGCCTACATGGACTCGTGGAAGGTGCGCGAGATGACATCTAGCTGCTGGTCGCGGGTGAGGCGGGTGAAGTGCACAGCGTATCCCGACACACGGATGGTGAGCTGCGGGTACTGCTCGGGGTGCTCCATGGCGTCTAGTAGCGTCTCCCGGTTGAGCGCGTTCACGTTCAGGTGGAAGGCACTGGTGTGGGGAGAGGGCGAGTAGTTGGAGATAGGTGGAGAGGAAAACATGAGTACGTGCTAATGGGGAAAGAAATGGAGAACAAGGCATCTTGAAGCAGAAAATGTAGTTGGAAAGCAGTAACCACAAGTACCCACGCGGGTGTTCTCTCTCTCAAGCATGCTACCAGTGTTGGGTGAAAGCATGTTGCCATTCCCAACCCCCGGCAAAGGGCAAACATGGTACTCACCCCTGGTTGAAGTACCGTGCGGATGCGGACCATGTTAGACATGCGCATCTCATGGGAGGGCATGGTATCTCATGGAAGGGCATGGTATCTCATGGAAGGGCATGGTATCTCATGGAAGGGCATGGTATCTCATGGAAGGGCATGGTATCTCATGGCATGTCAGCATGTTCTGGATGTCAAAACATCTAGGTAATGGCCACTCACCCCTGGTTGAAGTAACCGTCGAGGATGCGGACCATGTTGCTCGTGCGCATCTCATCATCTTTCCCCAGCGCGGACGGCACCATTGTGAACGTGTTACTGATCCCATCCAGGCACGATTCGTACGGCAGCTTCGCCACGGAATTCAGCGACGCGAGCGCACCCTCCACGTCGCGCCCGTGCAGCGGATTCGCGCCGGGCGCGAACGGCTCGCCCTTCTTGCGCCCGTCGGGGGTGTTGCCCGTGTGCTTTCCGTACACCACGTTCGACGTGATCGTTAGCACGGATAAAGTGTGCTCCGCGCCGCGGTACGTCTTGTGCGCGCGCAGCTTCGCCATAAACGTCTCCACCAGCCACGACGCGAGCGAATCCACCTCCTCCACGTCATTCCCGAATTTCGGGAAATCGCCTTCGATCTTAAAGTCCGTCACCAGCCCGCGCTCGTCCTTAATCGGCGTCACCTTGGCGTGCTTAATCGCCGAGAGCGAGTCCGCCGCGACGCTAAGACCCGCGACGCCGAACGCGACTAATCTCCCCACGTGCGTGTCGTGTAGCGCCATCTGCACGCGCTCGTAGTTATACTTATCGTGCATGTAGTGAATAATATTCATCGTGTTCACGTACAGCCCCGCGAGCCACTCCATGGCCGTCTCGTAGCGCGCCATCACGTCGTTAAACTCCAGCGGGCCGTCCGGCAGCGGCGCGAACTGCGGCGCGACTTGCACGCCGCTAACCTCGTCCTTGCCCTCGTTCATCGCGTAGAGCAGCAGCTTCGGCAGGTTGCAACGCGCGCCAAAGTACTGCATGTGTTTCCCGATCGCCATGGCGGACACGCAGCACGCGATCGCCGTGTCGTCGCCGAACAGCGGTCGCATGACGTCGTCGTTCTCGTACTGGATGGACGACAGGTCGAGCGACAGCTTCCCGCAGAATCGCTTGAAGTGCTCCGGGAGTTTTGGCGACCAGAGGACCGTTAGGTTGGGCTCGGGCGCGGGGCCGAGGTTTCGCAGCGTCTGGAGGATGCGATACGCGGTTTTGGTAACCATGTGTCGCCCGCCTTCGCCCTTGGTGAGCCCGCCCACGACGGCCGTCACCCACGTGGGGTCGCCCGCGAAGAGGTTGTTGTAGTCGGGCGTGCGCAGATGGCGCACCAGGCGCAGCTGATGGGCGGAAACGGGGGCGGAAGGGGAAGCGCGGAAAGCGGGGAGCGGGCGGAAAAGGAAATGGGGGAAAGGTGAGACTTTGCTGCTTTTTTAACCAAGCAGGTGCTAGTAGGGGTGCAGCTGGGGATGCGGGGAGACTCCGGCACAAGAGAGGCCGTCAATAACGCGTACCTTGATAACGAGGTCGTCGATGAGCTCCTGCGCCTGCTCCTCCGTGAGCGCGCCGCTCTTGAGGTCCTTCTCGAAGTACACGTCGAGGAACGCGTCCACGCGCCCCAGCGACATCGCCGCGCCGTCCTGCTCCTTAATCGCCGCTAGGTACCTGGCAGCGGGCACGACGGAGAGAGAGAGACGAATCTCGGCAAGTGGTTTCTTAGCGTGCGAGTTTTCTAGAATCTCTGTATGATTCGGCTGCTGCTGCGGCTGCTGAATTCACGAGCGAATGATGAAAGAGGCGCTCGTTATACTCACGCGAAGTACAGCCACTGCACGGCCTCGCGGGCGTTCGTAGCGGGTCTGCTAATATCGTATCCGTAGCTCTTCGCCATGGCATTGAGCTCCTCGAGCGCGCGAATCTGCTCCGCAACTTCCTCGCGCAGTTGGATAATCTCCTCCGTCATTTCCGGGCCCAGAGCCGCCTTGTCCGCCTCCTTCGCCGCAATCAGCGCGTCGACTCCGTAAAGCGCGACGCGGCGGTAATCACCGATGATGCGGCCTCGGCCGTACGCGTCGGGCAGGCCTGTCAGGATACCCTCGCGCCGCGCAACCAGCATCTCCGGAGTGTACGCGTCAAAGACTCCCGCATTATGCGTCTTCACGTATTTCCTGCACGGATAACGGTCAAAAGTCAGGCAAGAACAGAAAACGAATAAGCTTCACAGGAACGACGCACAGCGATGCATTTAACGATTTTCAAAAGAGAAAATCCAGACACACGCCACGCCTGCACACTTACATAAACACCTCGCGCACTCTCTCGTCGACGGGGTAGCCGTAACTCTCGAGGGCCGCCTCGACCATGCGCCAGCCGCCCTTGGGCTTGATCATGCGCTTGAGCGGCGCGTCTGTCTGAAAGCCGACAATGATGTCCTTCTCTTTGTCCAGGTATCCCGGGCCGTGCGACACGATCGACGCGGGCGTGGACGGATCGCAGTCCAGCACGCCCTTGTCGTGTTCGATCTTGAGCAGCTCGCAACACTTGTCCCATATCTGCCCGTGTGCCGTGAGCACGCGCGGAAAGGGGGGGAGGAGGGATTTGGAGAGAGAGGAATTGAGGAACGGAGTGTGATGAATTTCGCGTGGAAGGTGGTAGATTCACATGAAAATTGGTTAAATTACAGGTACCGCCGCGTGCAGCTCATTTGAGTGCCCATGGCGTTTTGACCTACTAGCGAAAGAGTAGCGTGACGATATTGAGTGTAACAAAATTGAGAGTAAGCGATCGAGTTTAACGCACCTCCAAGGTTCGCGGGGTCGGTCCGGCGAGGAAGCTATCGTCGCCGTCGTACGGGGTGTAATTCTTCATGATGAACGACGCCACGTCGACACGGCCTGGCTCGTTAGCCGCCACGTGGGCGTCGCTCTCTTCCACCTCAGCGGGCTGACCCGCGCGACGCACGACCGTGGAAATCGAACGCGCAGCGAACGGCTGGAGCGTGGGCACGTGCCCGAGCTGCGGCGTCCGCTGCGATGGGAAGGGCTTGGGCGCGGAAGCGGAAGCGGACGGGGCGGAGGAATTGCGGAAGAGGCACTCGGTGCAGTCCTCGCAGCCCATACCGCAAGGTGAGTTGGTGACGGTGCATAGCAGGCCCGACACGCTCGTCGGCTGCGCGGTGGATGTAGATGACGGGCGCGTTGACGGGAGGTGACTGAGTCTCGCGCCAAGTGCGGAGACTATTTGCTGTGCCGCGCAGCACGCGGCGGGAATGGCATACTGGAGGCAGCGATGACAGGCGGCTGATGCGGC